TTGGCACTGATAAAGTGTGTTTATAATTAATAAGAGAAAAACTTACAATCAACTAATTTTATCACCAGTATCAAAATATCAGTGCACTTGTAAGCAAGCATTAGAAATGTTTAAACACAATGAGGCCAACTTGTTTTTAATGAACTTTTATTAAAGATATTTAAAAAAAAAAACGTTTAAGCCTCTTTGCTAAAATGGTTACACTTAAGACATGCAACAGCAGTTTGTAACTTTGCCTGCATTTTTGCATATCCCCCAAATTGGGGAGAGAGAAAAAAAATGGAAGTATTCCAAAACTGAATTAGCAAAACTATTCTTTTACTTTTTGTTTGATCTGGTGACAACTAAGGCCACTTATTGGATTGCAGTAATTTTTCTTTTATCTGTCTCCTTATTTGACCCGTATTTAGGGAGGGAGAAAAAAAGCGAGAAAGAAGGAAAAAACAGGAAAAAGGAGACAGACAACACAGAGGAAGTCCTCCAACTTCCAGACTTTTGCATTTTTTTTTGTTTTAAATTAAATACTTCAATTATATATATATATATATATATATATATATATATATATATATATATATAATAAAAGGAAAGAATAAATTACCATCATTTACTGCCTGTTTTGCTAGCTATTTGTGCATGCCTGCCAACAGAAAAAAGGTGAGAAAGTACCGAGTTAGGTGCATGGAAGTTAAAAGAAAGGCTAGAGAATTGAAAGTGGATGAGAAAGGCTACAACTCAATGAATATACTGGAGAAAGAGATGAGTTGAGGATTGGTTCTTCCTGAGTTTAATATTAATAGTTTCTGTGATGAAAGTACAGCAGTAATATTAATAGCAGTCAAAGTGGTAATAATATTAGTAGTCATAGTAAAAAGAGTAATTGGAACATAACAATAATTGTTGCAGGAAACAAAGCAATACTCAGTCTGATAAATTATTGGTCTGCAGAGTGTGAGAGTTGTCAATGGCAACTCCTGTAACAGAGTTAGAGAGTGCTGCTAACCCTAAAACACTGCAACTGCAACAGACAAAGGATAAAACAATGGAAGGTATTCATTAAAAAAAAAAAAATGGGGGAGAAAAAAGAAGGGACAATGACTTAATTTGAGTTTTTGATTAAGCCTTTATTTTTATGCCATACTTTTTCCTTTTTTGCTGATCTGTCACCTTGGAGATGCAAAGAAGGAAAAAGCAAAAATAAAAGTGCACTCAACATAAAAAGTGCTAACTTCTCTCCTTTTTTTTTTTTTTTTGTCTGTCTTGTGTATCACATCATTTCTTTAGTGTATCACAGAAATTGAGGCATTTATCACAAATACTGAGCAGAAGGAAAGGCAGTAGGGGAGGCTAAGAGAGCAAGCAGACATATATGCCATAGAAATCCATATTCACAAAAAACACACACATGCAGCAGTACGCATGCATGTATCACTAACAGTGGTTTTGGAAGTCCTCCTCCTGTATGTAAATACACTGACAATATCTTCAGGCAGGAAGAGGCAGAGGAACCAATTGATATCCAAAGCAACAAATAAGAAGTGATAAGAGTTTTAAAACAAAGAAAGCATGTAAAGCTTCCACCTGATAGATTTTTGCATCCACATGTGCTTGCAACTTGCACACTCTCATTACTACGACCCCTGACTGACTGACATAATGCTCACCCCCAAGCAAATCTGTTACATTTGCCACAAGACAATACACTTTGCCAGTCAGATGTTATAAAAACTTATTTTAAGTGCAGAAACATCAAGTCTTAAGGAGATTATATGTCAGAAAGTGAAAGAAAGAGATCGAGTCTGGAGAAGAAAATCACTTAAAATATGGGAAAAATTATCAAGTTCCAAAAGAGAAATAGAGTTTACAATATACAAAAATCTGCTAGGAGGAGGAGTTTCTTATAAAATGCAAAAGTAAAAAGTTAAGAAATGAGTGATAAAAGAAAATGTTATAGTGGCTTGTGTGAGAAATCAAAATTCTCTATTATTATTTAGATTTCGAGAAAAAAAAATATTCTTGGCTCAAATTTTGGGATTCACTTTTGTGGTAACAAGCATCATCATTCAGACATTATGTGGCAACAGGGATTGAATAAAAAGCAGACAAGTCACAAAGAGAGACAAGAACAAAGAAGGAAAGGAAAACCAGACAAGGAAGAATAATAAGTGTCAATAAAATGAAGACAATTCAAGAGATGGATAGTACAAAAAGAGATATTGTCTTTGTCTTTCCTTCATAATAGCACTGGTTTATTGTAATGGTCAGTTGAACCAATCTTGGTTGGACTGAGTCATTGGTTACCAAAGTGAAAACAGGTTAATAACAGATACAGAAGGAGAGGGGGGAAACAGCCATGAAGTGACTGATTATTGAAGAAGGAAGAATAAAGAGGGAATGTGAAAAGAGAGAAAAAAAAAAAAATGTAACCAAATGCATTCACCATATTAAAAAAAGAAAAAAAAAAGAATTTCACTGGATTAAACACAGAACCCAAATAGAAATAAATAAGCTAACATGAAAAATTAGATTTGATCAGAAGATAAGAGAAAAAGAAAATCCCTGATTTTTGTCTGCTTTCCTTAGTTTCCATTGGAATTTATGTAAATACTATGATTAAAATCCCAAGTACTTTCTAAAAAAAGTATTAATGGCAGACTGCAAGCTTGGAGTAAGAGGAAGCAGTGGCACCAGCAAGAGACAAAAAATTCTCAAAAAAGAGGAGAGGTAGAAACTCTAATAATTGACAACAATAGCAATAACAACCTGTTTTCTTTGATTCCTTTTCCTATTATTTTGGACAAATAATAATAATAATAATAATATTAATAATAACACTGATTTAGATAAAGATATGAAAAAAATTTTTTTTAAAATGGTTTCTCTCCCTTACCAAACTCTTAAAAAAAAAAAAAAAAAAAATTAAGCTAATATAGACTTGTTTAGCAAGGTTTACTCAGTGTAACCTGGAAATAAATGGTTATGAGAAGGAAGAGTGAAGCAGGAAATCTGCAAAAGACTGTCCCACGGTGAAAGGAAGACACTTGAATGTTTGAGAATTGAACAATTTGTTTCAGGATGCAGCAGGTGAAAAGGGCAGAGGTCAGGAGAAAATAGAAAAAGGGACAAGAACAAGTATTGAATGAGGAGGAAAACAGGTTCAAGTCAGGTTTGGGGTTTGACTAAAGTGATGACATCAGCAAATATGTAGCATCACCAAAAGTTAGTTCTTTCTTTTTCTGAGACCAATGAAAATTCATGATAGGTGTTTAAAAAAAAAAAAATCCTGATCAAATGTAAATTATTTTTCCTCTCTCTCAATCATTTGGTGTGTGTTTCATTTAAATCTGAAAGAAAAAAAAAGATAGAAACTTAGTTTCTCTTTTTTTTTTTTGTTTCTTTATAAAAAAAAATATTTTTCCAACAATAAAATTCAGAAAATATGTCTAATAGAATGAAGTCAAAAAGCTACAAATTTCAAAGAAAGAATGGATATATAGTGACATGTACCTAATGAACATGTACCTAATGAAATATATAGTGACATGTACCTAATGAACATGTACCTAATGAAATATATAGTGACATGTACCTAATGAAATTCTAAATTATGTAATCTATGCAAACAGTTTTAAAAATTCTTTTCTAAACACCTTCAGATAATTAAAACAGCATCTTTCCATTGGTTAAAACCCAAAGTCAAATCTCCAAACAAATTCATTTAAATAAATCAACAAATAAAGGTTGATTGCTTACACCTATAAAATACTTGTATCTGGCTGTACATTTATCAACAAACAGTTGAATCAAATGAAGTCCCCCCACCCACTAATAACAACAAGTCAGAGGCCCTGTTGGGTCGGAGGAAGTGTTTGTATTAGATAACCAGGCACTATTTTATCACATAACAAAAAAAAGGTGCTGACATAACAGCTCCACATGACAAGTGTCAGCTAACAGCAGTTACTGGGGCTGACCACACCTACCATCACCACTGCTATTTGGTCTTTCTAGTCATGCTTACTATCGTCATTATCATGATAGATTTTTAGGATTTTTTGTGTTTTTTTAAGAAACCTTTAAAAAATTGATGTTCCTCTAAACTAAGCGTAAAAATTATTTTTTAGCAATAAATTTCTCCTCCCAGAATTCAAGAGTTTCAAATTGAATGCATGTATGGGTGTGTGTATGTGCATATAGATATTTTTTTTTTTTTTTTTAAATTACAAAAAACAAAATACTGGGGTAGAAAAAAAAAGTTAAAATTGAAATAAAGTAAAACAAAAAATGAAAAAGTTTAAAAAGAAAAAAAGCTTCAATCTACAAACTCAAAAAAAAAAAAAAAAAAAAAAAAAAAAAAAAAAAAGTAAAAAAAAAAAAAAAAAATCTGGTGTTTTTTTTTTTTTTTTTTAGTTTTGTTTTTTTTTTCAAGGGTGGGGGGTTGCTGGAGGCCTCCAGCTGCCAACCTAGGGGACAAAAAGCATCATATGACAATCAACAAGTTGCCATGGTAACAGTCAAAAGTCCAGAGCTAGGGAGAGTTGAGAAAAAAAAAAAAAATTTTTTTAAAGTATTCTTTCCCCTTCCACCCATCCCCATTTCCCCCATTACTGTTTAGTTGCACAAATGTCTATGGCAACCAGAAAATCCAGGCATCAAAGCCGTGACAAACTTTTATCCATCCTGTGGGATACCAGGAGGATCAGGTGAAAAAACTTTACAGTTGCTTCGTCTTCTTAAAAGATTTTTTAATTATTTTTTAAAAAATTTTAACTTTTTTTTTTTTTTTTTGGCTTTTTTTTTTTTTTTTTTTTTAAAACATTTTGAAAAATTTTTTTCATGTTTTGTTTTGTTTTTTTTTTTTTTGTTTTTTGGATCACATTTTTTTTTTTTATTTCTTTCTTTTCTGTCACTATGGTTGACATTTCCCCAAATCCTGGTATCAGTATTGGCAGAAGACATCTCCTACCAGGAGTGGCTGGGACCAGAAATTCTCATCCCACTCAAGTTACTAAAAAAAGAAAAAAAAAAAAAAGAACAAGTTAAAAAGAGAATAAAGAAAATCTTTTTAAAATACAAAGTTATGTGATATTAACTTTGATTGTCTTATCTCTAAAGACTGACATTTTAAGTTTTGTTTGACATAAAAATACAAAAGTAAAAAAGAAAGGTAGGCTAGAATTTTTATCAGTGGATAAAGTTTTGTTTTGCTCTTTTATATGAAACAAAAAAGATTTCATCTTAAATAAGTTGACAAAAATACAATTATTTGAATCTTAAACATTTGATTTCAATATATAAATGAGAAGTAATTACCAATCTTTATGTTAATAGGAGTGAAAATTTTATTTTATATATTTTTTGTTAGATTACATTTAAAACAATTCTGAATTGGAAGAATATTTTTTGCCCAACTACAAATTATTTTTATTGTTTAATTGGGTAATTTCTAAGTCACAACTCAGCAGAAACTAACTCAATTGTACTTTAAATCACTCTTACAACCACCTTATATATAAAGTAAATAGAATGGTTTGATTCTGGTTTTGAATCTTGAATCATTCTTCAATCATGTGAGACATGGTTTATCATGTTCTCTATTTCGGAATCATTGGCAGTGGCATTTCATGTGGGGGTGATGATAAGAGGGAGGGGGTGAAAAGAGGAAAAGAATTTGAGAATTTTTTTTTTTATAAATTTGAACAAACAATTTTTTATAATAAAGCTTCAAATTTAAAGGCTTTTGTGATTAATCACTTCACTTTAATTATTGGTTATATATCCTCATCTGATTAGAATAGAATCTATATAAAGTATATATAAAGTTCATGAAAATCACCTGGTAGCCTTAAAAAAACTTGATAAAGCGATAATTTGTAAACAGATCAGATCAGAATATGTTCTAGGAATGTGAGGACTGGACTTGGCTAATATATAGCATAATAAGAACTGCAATTTGATAATTGGTTTTCAAAGTCAAAAAAATGACTTTTTCAACAATAATAATAATAATAATGATGTTCATCAATAAATACAATACTACTACCACTAATAATGCAGGCAAAGTAGTTTGTAAATGCTTCACATTTCAGGGAATATCAATTTTTCTAAGCACTAAGCTGTTCTTTTTTGCATTAAGTGCAGACCTAAAACTTCAGTGATGCAAAATATTATGATAGATTTTCAGTGAAAGTCTGTCTGGTATGACAGCTTATACAAGCTGAGAAGAACACAAAAACATGTATCTTTCCTGTTGGAGGCAGTTTCCATTTTCAAAGTTATCATTTATAAGACAAAGAGAAATTAAAACCATAATTCATCCTCAAAGCCATTGTTGAAAAGGAAGACATATAATAAAAAGGTAGGCTCATTAAAAAAAAAAAAAAAAAATCAGAATCTATAACAAGACTTTCCCTATGTCCATTTTAATGTATTTGCAAATAAGGCAGAAGGACATATTTTTGCTTATATACCTATGGGGCCCAAGACATTAAAATAACAACAACAGGTGAGCGTACTGCAATTGATTCCTATTTAGGAGGTGGAGCTGCCGGGTATGTTTGGTAATGATGCTGAGAGTCATCATTGGCCACTGGATGTGCACTTTGGTCCTGCAAGAAAGAATTGAAAGAATTATGTGGTTACAGTTTGACAGAAAATATTAGTCAATAAAATAGAGAACTGATATATTCAGGATTTTTGAATAAAGAATAAACTTGTTAAATTGTGGAATCCTAAAGTAAACATACAAAAACAGAAATAAAAATTATTTTTGAAATAATTTTTATTTTTTTAAAAATCATTTTTTAAAAACAAAATTTTGCCAATTATAAATCATTTTCAGCTATGGATATGAGAATGGTCATTTTCTGTTAAGTTCCCTTGAGTCCAGTAGAGTGATTTTGAAATAGGTTTTAAAGTTTTAACATTCAGTCAGTTATGTACCACGCTTAGGTGATCATGTATCTTTCGATACCTGACTGACGAGGCAGTTTTTTTCCCCACAATAGGTTGCCATTTCTTTCTGCGGTAGACCAGTTGCCATCCAAGGCTATAGAACCCAGTCTGTGGTCAGTTATGTGCCATGCGTGATACACGCTTAGGCGATCATGCATCTTTTGATACATGGCTGACAAGGCAGATTTTTTCCTGCAGTAGGTTGCCATTTTTTTCTGTGGTAGACCAGTTGCCATCCAAAGCTATAGAACTCTGTCCTGCTATTTACCCATAGCTGGTGGGGAAGAAGAAGAGGATTCATACCTTTCCCAAGGGTATTAGCACATAAGTGAATGTAATGGATTCGACTGGAATTTGAACTCGGCTCTCCGATTCCTCAATCCAAGCTGATATCTATTACTCCACCATACCTCCAATATTTTAATATTACAGAGTTAACATTAAAATCCAGTTAAATCTACAAAGGCCTGGTTTTATGATATAGAACCTGGGAAAACATAAGACTTAATTGCATTTAGTAACTACTAGGGTTAAATGTGGAGAAAAGAACTAATTAAGAAGATTAATTAGTTTTGAGAAATTATATGTATTGAGAAATCATTAAGAGAGTGAATTTGAATATTAAAAAAAAAAAAGAAAAAAAAAAAGAAGACATTTTCTTTAGGTTAATTCCATATACACTTTTGTTTTTTAAATGACTCACCTCAACAGGAACCGTCTGTACAACAGTACCTCCTTGCGCCTGATGGTAAGGAATCTGTGTGTAGGCTGCATGAGGTCCAGAAACATACTGAAATATAAAATAATTTTACTTTGATAACCAAAAAAAAATTCTATTTTTGCTCTTTTATTCTCAGTCATTTCAAAATTGGAGTTATTCTCTGATGAATTTTTTACTGAAAATACTCAAGTGTCATATTTAAATTATTAATTCTAGACAAAGCAAATGTGGTATAGTTACTGATTGGACAAGCATGTTTCTAATTATCACAGCAGATTTTTGGCAGTACCGACACACCCAAGAATTACACATCCTCCCAATAAAAAATAAATAAAATCAACTACTGAATTATGGATTAAATTTTATATATATATATATATATATATATATATATATATATATATATATATATATATATAAACAAATGTTTGGGAGGTACAAAATTTATAAATAGTTTTAAAAACTAGGAAACCATTGATTTTAATATTAAAAAGTCTCTAGAGCCCTTTCAGCCAACATCTCATCAGGAGACAATCGTTGGATCAGCGAAATGAATAATAGCGATATTGAAGAGCAAAAAGAGGGGGGAAACACACTAAAATAACGAACAAGTATATATACTTGTAACGAGGAAAGGTTATCGTGTAAATAAATAGCGAGGACAGTTAAAATAAAATATCCCCCAACAGATTTAGAGACCTTATAAATTCTTTCTGCGGCAGAGAGAAGGTTTTCTAAATCCTATACAGACCGATTCCAAAATCTTCAAATGATTATTGGAATCGGCTGTATGAATAATTCTAAACCACTCTTTTTATACAACTTGGCACAAGCTATATTCTCAACTAAATGTTGAGCAATAGCCGATTCCATATTCATGGGGGAAGATAGCATATTCTATCTATCTTACCAAGTCGTATTTTGGAAGGAACGTGCTGATTAATTCTGGTTTCCAAATGCAAGGTTGTACGCCCCACATAACCAGCAGCACACTGGCAATTAAATTCATATACTAAATTACTCAATTTGATGTAGGGCAATACATCCTTGCGAAAAGACGGAAACGCAGACCTAGTTTGAAAAATGCTACGTAAAGCAACTGATGGGAAACAACCGGAAACCAACTTGCCAACCTGCTTAATTAAGCCCTGACCACTATCCCCAATCCAGGGAATCTTCAAATAAACCGGACATTTAGAAGGCCCCTGGATTTTAGGGGAATGAAATTCCTTAGTTTTCTTACTTATAATGTAGTCAATAAGGGCCTCCGGATAGCCGTTACTAAGGAAAATCTCCCTAATGTTACACGATAACCCTTCCCTCGTTACAAGTATATATACTTGTTCGTTATTTTAGTGTGTTTCCCCCTCTTTTTTGCTCTTCAATATTGCTATTATTCATTTCGCTGATCCAAGGATTGTCTCCTGATGAGATGTTGGCTGAAAGGGCTCTAGAGACTTTTAATATTAAAATCAATGGTTTCCTAGTTTTTAAAAATATATATATATATATATATATATATATATATGAATGTTTTAAGAAAATAATTTCAGATTAATTTTAAAACATGAAAATGTTTAATGTTGCTATCTTATGGTAGACTCCCTTTCACCTTACCAATAAATCATCTGCAAGAATTGAGAAAATTCAAGCAAATGTAAGTTTCTTTACTTTCAAGAAAAATAGTAACCTTATGCATTTTAATAATATGCAGCATACCAAAAAAATAATGAATTATTTTATGTAACAGTTTAGATATAAAATATTATATTTGGTCAATTACACTTTTAAAATGTCAGTTAGATCAAGAGTAGTAACATTACAGGTCATATATTAAGTAGCAGATCTTAAAAAATCTTTTTAAAACATTGTCTTTATAATAATTGAAAAGAAGTGCAATTTCTTTCTTAGAAAACATGTTTTTGCAGCAGTCAGCCTTGTCAAGAATAGCAATCATTGGACTTGGAAATGAATATTTAAAATATATTCACTTGATCTTAGTTTTGATCAAGACAACCAAAGTTATCTTATAGAGACTAACTATACATAATTCAAATTTAAATGTTAATCCCGATACAAAACCATTTATCTGGTTTCTAGAAAGTTGTTTATTTTTTAATCAGGTGGGCTTTGTATAAGTTTGGTACTCATCTAATTTGTAGCAATTATATAGAAACAATTTGTTTTTGAATTTATATTTACATTTGTATTGAAAAATCTTGAAGATTTTCAGTACCAAATAGTCATTCATACTTTAAAAGTTTACTCAAATTTGAATTAATAGAATTTAAAAGTTTGAAATTACCATATATACTCGTATGTAAGCCAACCTCATGTACAGTGTGACCCCTGAATTTATTTTCATGAATTTTATCCCCTCCAGAAAAAAAATTTACCTGTGCATGGTGCAACAAGTCACTAAAAATGCATGATTTTTAAGCTCTTCAAAAAGATTACCTGTGTAAAAGTGCAACTCCCTTATTTGAGTTAAAAAACTGATCATAAAAACTTGTATTATACTCAAGTATATATGGTATTAGTTATTCATTAAGGAATTTAAGATAAAGATATTTTGTAAAAAATTACTGGGAATATATATATATATATATATACGTCACTATATTCTCCACCCTATTTAATTTTATTTCATCTCAGTAAATAACAATCTATATCAAAAGGTGTTGACATTAAGATAAATCAAGTTTTTATTTTTAAAAATTAATCTGATGAGGGCTAATCAAAGACTTTGCATTTGAAAATTTAAAACATCAAGTACTGCTTTGTTTAGCAATTTTTTTCATTTTGTTAATATATATCATAGACGTTTGATATAATAATATAAATAACATTTTGGAAAATATTCACATTTATTTTTTGTTTTTAAACATTTTTATGGAATTTAATAAATTTTAAAAAATTATTTAGTATTTATAATCACATCTGAAACACTTGAAAAGATCCTTATAGATCTAAATAATGTTTTAATACATGAATTAGCCAGAAATAGTAGGATGATATGTTTTTTTAAATTTATTATTTTTGTTTATATATTAAGCAGTCAATCTTCAATTTTCAATACTTGTACTTCTCTTTTTGTCACTTCCAGATGCTAAATTCTCTTCAAATGAAGATCAAGGGATGGATAAATTAAAAAATTTTCAAATGGGTTAATTTGTCTGTTTTAAAAACAGTTTTGCCCTTAATCTTTCTTCATATATTTTATATTTTGCATATTTTAAAATTTCAGTTGGATTAATAAAGATCAAAGAAACTCTGTTAGAAGTGGATTAATTTACACCTGTTCAATACAAGTTTAATCTTTAATTCTCATGGTTTATTTTATAATTTAAGTTTGGCCTAGAAAAGTAAAAATCAGAGAAATCCAGGCCTCTATTTGTCCCAAGATAAATGTTCTGGTAAATGTAACTCTGAAAACAGGAAATAAAGAATTTTCAAAAAAATATTCTCAAAATAATGTTTTGTATATATTTCACACAGCGAAAACTGCAAAGTCAGTCAGTTCCTTTAAATATCCAAATCACTCAATTAAATGGAAACTGGCATATTCTATAGTTACTTGAACTAGCACTTTGTATAAAATGTACAAAAATTTTTTTTTCTTCTTCTTAGTTTTGGTCTCCTGTCCAAAGTGAAATCATGAATATGAAAGGAAATGACAGATTTTCTTTTCAGTTTAAAAGTTATATAAATGGATACATGAAGAAAATGTTGCGCAGTTTATTAAAAAGTTTTCCCATACCGAGGTATTGGAGAGTTGTAATTGTCCCATTTGTGCAGTTAAAGTTGGCATAACAGAGTTGGGATCAAGTGTGTGAGTCCCTGGGTGAACAGTGGTTGGGATCATCTGAAAAGACAATCAATGCAAAAGTCAAAATTGCTGATGAATACAATAAAAATATGTACGAAAATGTTTAAAACATTTTTCAGAATAACCCCCCCTCCCCAAAGTCATATTGTAGTTAATATTCACAATTTGTCAAAATTTTAACACTTTATGAAGACTTTTTGCATGAGTAAAATCTGAACAAGTTCCAAAGATCAATTTTTTTCATGCAATCTTTAAAAAAAATGTTAACATTTGAAATTAGAAGAAAAATATTCAGAGAATGAGAAGATGAAAAGATGTGCCAATTGGAAAGTGAAAAATAGAAGGAAAGAACATTATAATTATTAAAAGGTGTGAGAAAAGCAAAACAAAATGAAAAAAAAAAAAAAAAAAAAAAAAACTTGCTGAAAGCCAATAAATAAAATTTGCTATTTTCTATGATTACTAAATTGTTTCTGTTTAGTTCAAATTTTCATAAGTGATTTGTTTTTCTCTTAAATTTTACAAGGAATACATACCATACAAACAGAAAATAAATGAGAAAAGCAAAAATAAAGAGTATGCAAAAAAAAAAAAAAAAAATTTTTTAGTGAAATAGCAGACAGAGAAACTAAGAAAAAATAGAAAGGGAAATGGCAGATTCTTAAACCATTACACACACACACACACACACACACACACTGATTTCAAAGGGAACTAACACTTAATATTTCATGACTTGTTAACACTGATAAAAGTTATTTAAAATTATGTTCTATGTTGATAATGATACACACACACAGATGAAAAGTAAATGAATGTTTTTTCCATTCTCCCCATTTTGCTGAAAAACTAACATTGAAGACAGCCTAATCAGTCATGGTTTTCATATGAAAATGAAGAGATTATTATTATATGACAGCAAGTAAAATTCATTCCTTTCAAGGTTTACATGAATTTTGAAAAAAAAAAGTGGAATATATTATCTATATCTCTACAAATGAACATATCACCATCCTTAACTATAAGATTACTAACTATAACTAGATTTACTATTTTTTTCAGATAATTCATAAAAAACAGGAATGAAATAAATATGGATCAATTCTTATGATACCAAAAATTAAACAGTTCTATAAAATCTTTTAATGTTATAGAAAACCTAAATATTTTCACAGAGTTACATCATTTACATTATTCGGACTATTGTCCACATCTTTGTTGCCATATTTATCACAATGTTTCAGCCGTTGTATGCTTCAGCCTTCTTCAGGTGGTGAGGACAATAGTTCGAATAATGTAAATAGTGTACATAATACTTCATCTCAGAAATATAGACAGATACTAAGCTACATCATCTTTTGTTATTGTCTATGACAATCAAATCAGCTCATGATTTATTCATTTTAATTCAGATTTGAATCAATGCAAACTGTTAAATTCATTTGTTTGGAGGATAGTGAAACTCGACAATTACAACTGTAACATCTTTTTATATTGAATCAGTTCCTTTGCTTTTTCTTCAATAACAATTTATAATATAAAGACCAACAAAATTTAAATCAAAAGGAAAAACTTATGAGTCAATTGTTGCTTCTTGATGCTATTTAAAAAATCTTTTCCCTCTAACAAAATTCAAATGTTAAGTTTTCAACTTCTGAAGAAACTTGGGCAATTTTCTGATAATGAAGAAAAGAAAAATCAATAATGGATTCAATAAACATACATACACATTAAGTTTTAATTGCAGACACATAACATTATCCAGTTTAGCATACCTATATTAATATTGGTTGTGGGTGTATAAAAGTCCCCAGTACTACTTTTTTTGAAAACTACAGACAGAATCATAGTTGAAAACTATTTTCTTTTTTTTTTTTCTGAAAATTTTTGCACTCACTTCAAAGCCTGTATTGCTATTTGAATAATTTCATGTGATGACTTTGCTTTTTTCATTTAAACTGATTTTCAGCCAAAATATCTTGTACTAAAAATGAGAATAAAAAAGTTACACCTAAAAATCTTAACATATTTTTTTGTCATTTAACTTCTTTTAGGAATTCCTGTTCTATAGTTATTGAGTGAAGAGAATTTTTATATTCAGTCAGTCAGTTATGTGCCATGCATGATACACGCTTAGGCAATCATGTTTCTTTCAATACATGACTGACGAGACTGAGTAGGTTGCCATTTCTTTATGCAGTAGACCAGTTGCCATCCAAGGCTATAGAATTTGGTCTGTCCTGCTATTTACCCATAGCTGGGGGGGAAGAAGAGGATTAATACCTTTCCCAAGGGTATTAGCACGTAAGTGAATGTAATGGATTTGATTGTAATTTGAACTTGGCTCTCTGATTCCTCAATCTGAGATTGTGAAGAAAAAACCCCCCAAAAAACAAAAAACGCCTAATATTAAAATTTCACATTTGAACAGATTTGATTAGAAATATTCCTCTCACAAAATAACTAGAGTACTGGAGTTCCTGAAAGGAAGGATATCCCAGTTTCATATGCAATGCTATTGATACTTACATGTGCCATGGGTGGCATGATGTACTGGGGGTGATGCATCCAGGCTGGATTGGACTGGACTTGATAGGTGGTGACTGGAGTGGTTGACATGGAGTAGCGTGGCACAATACCAGTTGGGATCATGGCTGCTGCTGCTGCTACAGCTGCAGCCCCCCCTGCTTGGTTGGCCCCCACACTGTAAGGCAGATAAAGACTGTACATCTATAAGCATGCGTCCCCAACTCCAACCATCAAAGTGATTGGTACATGCATCTCCTTTCACGCATCCAAGCAGTCAATGCAACAATCAATCAAAAATAAAAAGGAAAACATCAAATTTTCTGATAGAAATGAATAATGAACAATCATTTTTAGAAGAGTCGTCTCCCTTACATTACTTGGGATATGTTTTATAATTGTCTCCCTTAACAGCAGCCATCTCTCTTCAAAATAAAAATGATTGATTCGAATTGATGACTCTTACATTAGACATGATTGAAAACTATTGATCCTTTCATTTTCTGCTATTTGAATTAAAATCAGTGTTCTTTATAATTATGGATGAAAAAAATCTTTGAAATATAGCAAGAAAGTAGTATGTTTTCGCTTTTGATATTTTTGTCTATAAAAAGATATAGTTTTCACCTTTTTACATGTTTAAACTTTGAAAAGTATGTAAATTGGTACAGTGTAACCCGGATATAGGAGAGATTTTCTCTGGTCCCAAATTAGAGCCTGTGTTAATGTATATAAAATAGACCAAACCCGGATATAAGAGACTTCTTCTCCGGTCCTGACAACTCTCTGATAGAAATAATGTAATTTTCTTTAAAGTTCATTTAGACCTTATAAAAATTGTTACACATACTTCTTATTTTATGCTGCGGTATTTCCCTAGTTTCTTCTGTTATTTAATGTACAGAGCTTGTTTCAGTTATGAGTTAACAGTCAAAGCTTAAATTACAAATGTCATTCATAAAGTAAAAATTTATCTTGAAATAATTATCAAGCTATAGTCTTGAGGTCAGAGACAGCATTATTCAAAATAGTCGCAATTGTTGATTTTAAATAAAACAGTTTAAATACAAAATCATTTCAAGGATTCTTTCTTCATGTTATTCTATTGTTATCTTTCTGTACATAATAACCAGATATGAAAACATTAAAATAGCAATATAAAACTAATATGGAAATAACTAATCTAATAAAATCTAAATTAAAAATAAATTCATGAAGACTTGTCAAAATTATTTTTTTGTTTTTAATGAAAGCCTGAGTGTTAAACTACTCAATATTCACTCCAAGCAGCTAAGAAATTTGGAAAACAATAGTTTTTTTACAATCAGTTTCCATCTGAATTAGATTTACTATTGAAAGAGAAAAGGCTTATGAAAATTACAGCCAGTATATGTCTTTCAATTTTATTGATACTATAATGAATAGGAATACTATTTTCAAGTGAATAAATATCTATATGGATTTGTAATGCTCAGCTCAATGCAATATATATATATATATATATATATATATATACAAACAAAAAGTTCTTTTGTAGCTGAGGGTACAAATTAAAGATAGGTGTATGTATTTTGATTAATGAAAATACTAAGTTAGCAGTTGAAGATTCTGATATTACATTTTTTTCTTTCTACAAATTGAAAGAAAATTCCTTCCTTTTCAATTTTCTACAAGGTTAGTTTAAAAAGATAAACATGTTTTAGAATTTTCCCACTGAAAATTTGACCCAAAATATATGATTTTGAAAATTTTTCTGAAACTTAGCAGATTAAATGTAAAACTATAGTGCCTCATTTTACAAAAGTAAAAACAGTTCATTGTAGTGGTTGATTTTTTAAAAAATTTCGACAACTTTCAGGTAGAAAGTCTATTGCAATGCCTCAGTAGAAATTCTAAGAGTTGGAATCTTGCAGAAAAGCTTCCTTATAAACCAGTCAATAAATGTTATTTTTAATCAAATGCCGTTTTATTTGACTTTTAGAATGGGCATATTAAAGATTTAGATATGTGGGTAGCTTAATGGTTATCAGTGAGGAAAATGGAATCGGTAAGGCAAGCTTAAGTTATGACCTAGCCTGTTGTGTTCACTTCCCATGAATGTTCTTAGGAAAGGCACAAACTATATTCTTCTGTTAACTATGAATTAAACAGCAGGCAGGCTAGGCTCTCTTGCCTAAGTGGCAACCATTCAAGGAGAAGGAAACCATGAATCTAAAACTAGAAATTTTTATGGAAAACCACTCTGCTATCATTCCCCAAGAGATCATGACACTTAGCAAAAAGATAAAGAAAAAATATGTAGGAAGTCATGATTGCCTACATTCTGAAGGAACATGGCTAAAAATTTAAATATTTTGTTATTCATTCATTAAATTGCTTTTGTAAAGTTTTTTTTTTCTGTATTATTTGTTTACTTTTTATATTGCAGTACATAGGAATTAACTTAAAATTATGTTGCTGTACATATGAAGGTATTTCAATTTATGCTAACTACAAGAGAATTTATTCATGTTGCTGACAAGTGTCAAGTTCAAATACAATTGCCTAATAAAGAACTAGACAATTAATGCATGATTTAGAAGTTTGGGGCCTAAAATCAAATTTGCTTATATAAAATGCAGGGTAGAGAAGGTTTCATTTCTGAGTTTAGTCTAAAAAAAGATATTTCAACAGTTTGGTTTAATACGGATATGAAAATAAATATTTCAAGAAGTCAACTTACCCATTTTGAGCAATTGTTGTCTGGTCATATCCCATAGGGATTCCCTGAAAAATAGTAAACATTTTTTTAACAATACAGTCTGTGTAAAATTAAAATCTTTCTTACAGCTGAATTTAAGCAGAGATTAACACTTGCTACAAGCACAATGTCTTCATCCAAAGGAACTGTAATTGGAGAGAGAACCTACTACAGCAAAAAAAAAAGTTCAAGGATTCATGAATTTTCAATAGAAAAAAATAAAAGTCAAAGATCAAATTCGTGTGAGGGTATAAAACTTTAAATGGTCATCTTCAATAATTGGACATGCATTTACATAACTAATGAATAAAAAAATACTATTAATTCAACTTCTAGGGGCTGGTAAGATACTCAATAAAAAAAATGTTATTTTTATTGGCTGGAATAAAATCCAATTGTTATGTAGAATAAAAAGAGAGGAAATTCAACATTGTAAAGATATTAAGTTTTATATATGAGAAAGCTAAATAACAACATCAAATAATTTGTTTAAAAAAAAAAAGGTACAAAACAAATTCAGATAAAGAAAAACAGAAAAATTAAAACAAATAATTATATATATATATATATATATATATATATATATATATATATATATATATATATATATATGGGTTGAAAAAAAATTCCCAATTTTATCCAGGTTTATATAGCCTCAAAATGAACTTCCTGATGTGTCTACATTTGGCCATGATCTCAGACCTTCCATTCAACACCTCAGTGCCAACTTTGTATGTTGCAATAGCTAGTTTCTCCTCCTGACACAGCCTACATGAGTTGCCATTCACTTAAATTCCGTAAAATACTCCATTTAATTGCCAGGCTAACGTTATTTTATTTCTCCCTATAGCTCCAATAGTGGTTTGTCAGTTTCATATTGAACTTGCCTTCTGGTATTCTAAATGATGAGGTATAGTTACACCACCTCTTTTTAAACTGGCCCTCAGTGCAACCAATGCATTTTTTTGCACTGCTACTGTCACTTTCTACCTCGGCACAATACACAACCTGTTCTGTACAACATACCCCATTTAATGGACAATTATTTTTTAACCTACAATTACAAAGGACCTTGTTTTCACCTCTCATGTCTTCTCCAAGAATGTTTTTTCAGTCTTCTAAATAAACACTTCTGGTGTCAAATGAAGACATTTAAGTTTTTGCGTTGCTTCTGATTGATTTGTTGAACAAACAACCTGATGAAACCTTGGTGGTCAAAACCACGATAGTGTTCTGGTTAGTGTTCATATCTTTTATATATATATATATATATTGAGAATCCCAAATCCAAAACAACTGTAAGCTTGAATATATGAACCCTGATCAAAAAAACTAAAATATAATTATAATTTTTAGGTTTTAAAATTACAGTTGAATAGCATTCCTAAAATATTCTGCCCTCAGCCTCATCTTGATCATTGGTGATTCAAGCCACTGAAAATTATAAGTTCATATTCAAAATTATATACATTTTTGTTTCTCCATTTCATTTATTGCTGGTTTAAAACAATGAATTTTATAAACAATAAAATAAATGCAGTTCTCACAAGCCAGTAACTATTGGAAAGAAAAGATTGCTAAGAGGTTTGAATATAAGTAAAACATCAAAACAAAAAGAGAAAGCCTGAGAAATTCTATTATTTAACTTGAATAGTTTTAAAGCACTACCTTTTTATCACGATTTTGTTACCTCCGTAGAAAACAAATTTTACAGATTATGCCCCTTGATTTTGCAACTCCAGTTTGCTAAACAAGAACAGATAGTTTATGCACTAAGAAAACTGTAAGAACTGAAAAGTTATTTAATTTTGTAAAACCAGTTTAGCTAGTCTTCAAGATATTGTCCCATGAAACCAGATTTATATTAAATAAACACTGATGCCACAGACTTAAGAATTAACATAATTTTAATGAATTTCAGAAACTCAAAACCAAAATGTAATCTTATTAGAATCAGGTCAAGTGTTTGGAAATAGCAGTGACAAATATTCACATATGACAAATCAATTTAGTTTTAATTATTAAAGGGATCATATCTTATATATTAACAAGATTTACAATAAAAATTATATACATTTTTGTTACGTTGTCCAGAAAAGAAACAAACAGAAAAATGTCAAACACAAAAAACTTTTTTCTGATTCAGGTTAGAAATTTTAATTTCTCATGAAAGGTCATCAATAAACTTTCTTGTATCCAAATATTGTTCAAAATCAGATGATCTGAAATATTTTAGCCCCAATAAAGTAAAGAAAACTTTAGGATTTTATTATTATTCTTATTGTAAGATTTAAATGAAAATTATATTTTCAAAACTATCCATTAATAATTTAGTAAGCAGGTTTAAAAAATCTTTTCAAAGTCAAAATATTTCATGATTGGAGAGGGGTCATTACAAATCACATAGTGAATACATGTTAAAAAATCATTGATCATCATAAAAAGCAGTAAATAACACAAAATGACCATTCACTGATATGTTCAACCCAATGTGATAAGTGACAGAAGCTGACTTTTTAGCCCTCCTCACAGCAAACATAAACAAAACCATTTATATAGGCAATTGTATAGTCATGCATGAAGCAAACACTATTTATGCCTGGCCACTTATTTTCAAGTGATGCCAGCAATGTTAATACTCATTTTTATTAGTGCCTTACCGCCTCCACAATTGCTGCTACTGCTAACGTTTCCAGGAGGCAGAGGAAGCTGCCAATTCCTCTGCAGTGCTTCATTGTACTTCCTCCCCAATCCCTCTGTTAACAGCCATTACTGTGGCCTAGCTGCCACAGACAACTTCCTCCTCATGAAACAAGCAACTGGTTCTCATCTGAATACAGAGAATGCTTGCAACAATTACAAACTACTAAAAGTATTGATCTTCTCCCATCATGCTCTGCTCTGACCCCCACTCATTATCTACTTCCTCTTTTTCCTCTTGATGTTCAAGTGAACATAAGTTTTTTGTAGTATGGCAAGTGATGCTGCTGCTTAATTCTAAGCTGCAACCTCAGTTTTCACACATAAAATAAAGTGATTCAATTAAAGAGGATGAGAAGTATTTGATTTTTGGCTTTCATTCCAATATTAATATTGGTCTTTAGACATCAATAACCTGGAGCCTGTGACAGATGATACTACTCAACAAGTATTTCAGATACTAAATTTATAGGGAGATAGTTATCCGGCACACAGACATATATATATATATATATATATATATATATATATATATATATGGGTCACTTTTTAGTTGGTTCAGTCTCTGGAAAGTAGAAGTAAATATTAAACTAGGCAGACTTTTTTTTTTATACAAAAGTACATAACTTTCACAATTAATGAATTTGTATATACAAACACAATGTTGATGTAAAAGTTTCAATATCAACTTTTACAATGTTAGGGAAATCTTAAAAGTGTCTGAAGTATACTTGGTTCTTTAATTGCTTGTACAATCAACTGCAGTAAAAAAAATTGCAACAAACTTTCCACAACTTGGAGACAAAAACATCAATCAAGAATTAAATGCTAGTTTTTTTCTTGAATGAAACAAAAAAAAAAAACTGTTTTTGGACACAAGCAATTAATTACAAGAATCCAAAATGAAGTAAATTAAAGTAAGATCCTAGACAACTTTCAACATATCAACCTAAAATCTATTGAGGAAAACAAATAAACAAGTTCTGCTTGGTGCAGTTCAAAGAAAATCCTTTATTATGAATTACTGGATTCTGGAAACAAAATGTTATGTGCAACACTTGCAGTTGGCTCATTGAAATGATACACGAGAAGTTTTTTTGGATCATCAAGCTGATCGGTGTTCTAGCTGCAGGACAATGTCTTCATTACATTGCATATGCAATGCAACAAACTGGGATGGGAAGTTCTTCTGCATGCAGTAGTTATTCTAGGACCTTCAAACTATCTTCTGCTTCACTTGATGCAGCATTCTTAATCTGGTCAAGATTGTAAAAAAAGTTCCTAAAAAGAATTCATTGAATGAAACCAAAATCATTTTATAATGGAAGGGACGCTCAATCCAAAATGTTGTATTGATTCACAGAAAGACAGAGGAAGTATTTTGCAAATTACAAAATAATGCTATGAATTTATATAAATAAAAGATTTTATAAATTAAATGTTGGGAACTTTTGCATGTTTCTAAGTGACTTTTGACAGGTGGTAGGTGATGATACCTGAATGTAATGTATCCCCATTTTCTCAGGGACTCTAAATGGATATAAAATTACAAATATATATCACTACAAGATAATTATCCCAAGCAACTTGAATCATTAAAGAGATGTGTGAATTTTAAATTCATAGCTTATTAACAATATATTATATACATGTATATTGCAAAATGTTTATTTAATATACTTCTGATATTTACATTTAAAGTTATGTAGGTGATCTATTTTGATATAAAATAAAGTTACAAAAAAAAAAAAAAATTACAGATTTTCAAGCACACAATGCAGAATAAAATATAAATAATTAAATGAATTTCTATTAAAAGATATTTTCACTATTTTTTCTCTCCATGAAGGAAAATTTTTGATAAATTCACTGATACAATAAACACAGAAAGTTTTATTAAATTTTGAATAATTTGTTTAATTTCTGTCAATTTTTAATTGGGTATGTTGAAAAATCTATTTTTCTCTTGAATTTTGCCATGTACAACTCTTTGCAAAATATTTTTCAAATACAATTTTTTTTTCAGTAAGGAACTCCAATTTTTTATAAAGGTATAAAACTTTTGTGATGGCCGTTAATAATTAAGTATATAACCCAAGACTTCAATGTTAAGATAAAACAGTATTTAATTACAACCACAAATAAATACTTAACAAGAACAAAGAAGTAAAAGTCAACCAAAAATAATTAACCATTTCAGTGAATAACTTATTAGTAGCATGGCTTGGCTTAACATCTGGTAAATCCTAAATCAAAACCTAAATCATTGATGCACAATAATTCACACTAATTCAACTGGATAGTTCCACTCAATAATCACTCCAGT